GACCTTGCAATCATTGCTCAGAATTCTCCATTCCTGAACCAGATTGTCTAAGGAAAGCTGACAAATTGATTCTTGAGATCATACAGAATAAATGAAAAAACATTGAAATAATTTTAGAATCAACATTTTATTTGATACTTATTACATAGTGAAATTAGAAACCTGAGGGCTTGGAAGAAACAGAACCATATATTAAGATCTTAAAATTTTCTGGTTTCTCAACATTTTAATACATATAATATTACATGTCTCAACATCTAAAAACATTTAGCTATAGGTTTTCTCTTTATGTCAAAATGGCCAAAGCAAAGACACAATGGAATGTTGAATCAATAGAACTACCTACCTTTGACATCAATGCCATGATCTCAATATAACATCATGGGTCAGTGACAAAAGCGAGAAACTTTTAAAGGTGTGCTACTACAGTTTGAAAAGTCAAGATGACATTAGGACATTAACAATACAAAGATTATAGGCATGTTAGAGCAATAAGAAATTACTCTAGCACTAATCTTATCAGTTAGAGACAGTTTACGTCCACAGGGACAGCTTCAGAATGCAGTGGGGAGCTTCAAACTTGACACTGATCTAGCGGGAAAAAAGAAAGAAAAGAAAGGACAGAAGAAAAAATCCTTTCAAACAAGCCTGGAAGGACAACGTAACAGGAATCTCCAGGCAAATATCACACTAACCCAGTATGTGAAATAAAACCCTTTGTTGACAAAAAAAAAAAAAAAAAAAAGGAGAGTTCTCACCTTCTTTGCTTGGTGTAAGGGGACATAGGGTATCACCTGCCTTGAATGTCCTAGAGGAAAGAGCTAACTTCAGGAAGTGAAAAATATGCCTGTTGGGAATAAGCCATATGGCATCATAAAACAATGTTTTCCAAAGTGTGGTCCATGAGTACCTGAGATCATTTTTTATGAGGACATAAACAAAGTGCATCTGTGTAGGTGTAATCTTCTATTTATGGCTAGTGATAATGATTTTCCACTTCTGGCAGCAACTTAAGTTTTGGTTTTTAATATAAAAAGTGATTCTATTTAAGAAGCAATCAGATCTCTCCACCCAAACTCCATGCAGTGAGGTGACTGGCCTTCCCTAACTTTGGTGAAAGTTTGGAGGTTGATTCTTTGGTTTAATCTCTGCACTGAGAAAGACCAAGATCAGGTGATACCACATGAAAAAGAGAAGGATTAAGTGAATTAGTGCAAGAAGTACCCAACTCTCGTCCCCTACTCAGCTCCCAGGCAGCAAAGCATTCACCCACTAGACAGAAGTTTTTTTAAAAAATATGACCAGTCCAAGAGAAAAAACAAAGACACTGAACATCAGAGGGTCCCCAGATAAAAAGTCCAGTCAGTAACACTATGTCGAAGTCAACAAGACCCGCTCATGCATTCAAATTAGCTTTTTATCCTCACATTTTAAAATATGGATAAACACCCAAAGATTATCAGACATCTGAGAAAAGCTACTAAAATAAAAGACAGAGACCAAAAAAACCCAAAAAGAACAAAGTACCTTGAAATAAACAGACTACACGAAGAACAGAAAATTTCAACAACTTAAAAAAATTAGTATCTTCAGAGAGAGATAAAAATATAATCAGGAAATAAAAAGTGATGTTATAAAAAGGAATGTAGAGAGAAATTTTAAAAAGCTCTTGAAAATTAAACTGATGATAGCAGAAAGAAAAGTTAAGATGAGCTCGGTGATAAAACTGAAAGTAGAACAGGGGCCTGCCCCGTGGCTGAGTGGTTAAGTTCACACGCTTGGCTTCGGCGGCCCAGGGTTTTGCCAGTTCAGATCCTGGATACGGACATGGCACCGCTCATCAGGCCATGCTGAGGCAGTGTCCCACATGCCACAACTAGAAGGATCCACAACTAAAAATATACAACTATGTACCGGGGGGGTTTGGGGAGAAAAAGGAAAAATAACATCTTAAAAAAAAAAAAATGAAAGTAGAACAAAAATTCCAAAAAGTAAAAAAGGAGAAAAAAGAAGGGAGGTAATGGTAAGTGAAAGAATTGAAGCAAATTTCCTAGAAGTGAAGAACATGAATATCCGTCTTGAAAAGGGCCTTCAAAGTTCTAGCACAAGGTATGAAACAGACCCACATCAGGGCACACCATCATGAAATTTCAAGAAACTGGGATTTAAAACATTCTATAAACTTTCAGAGAGGAAAAAAAACATGTAGGTCACATACAAAGGATCAGAAATCAGAACGGTGTTTGAATTTTCCATAGCAATCCTGCAAACAAGAAAACAATGGAGCAACCTTTACAAAATGAAAATGATTTCCAACCCAAAACTCTGTACCCATCTGACTACCAAGCAACTGTGAAGATAAATAAATTCCCTCTCAGACACAAAAGAGCTCAAACATTTCTCATTTCTTTGGAAGTTATTAGAAGTTGTGCTCAAGCAAGTGATCCAGGAAACAGGAAAGCCAACATAAGAAAGAGGGAAAAACCCCAGGACGATGGTGAAGGGAAATCCCAGGATGGGAGCTAAGCAAAGGGCATCCAATGCAGACTGGAGCAAGTCAGGATGCTCTGAGAGACTTCTTTAAGAAGAAATACAATCATTAAATCCAGGGAAAGTAAATAAGTTGTACAGGAAAGAAAGGTAACCACAGCTCACTACATGGCTAGATTTGAATAACATTTATATATATCATGGGAACGTAAGCACTGAATAATGATCTACCAAAAATAAAACATAACTATTAGGGTGAAACATGAAATTTTTGTTTTTGTAGATCAAAAACTGCATATAGTTCAACCTAGTACATTAGGAGCATGAGGGATGGAAGGATTTGTGTGTGTGTTTATGGTGGGACCAGAAAGAAGAAAGCATGATAAGACAATGCTTAAAACTAAAAAGACAAGAAACAGTCAAATAAGTTGGTTTTCTTTTTGAGGAAGACTGGCCCTGAGCTAACATCCATGCCCATCTTCCTCTATTTTATATGTGGGATGCCTGCCACAGAAAGGCTTAATAAGCAGGGTGTAGGCCCGCCCCAGTATCCAAACAGGAGAACCCCAGGCTCCCAGAGCAGACTGCATGAACTTAACCGCTGCACCACCAGGCCAGCCCCAAATAAGTACTAGTTTTGAAGACATGTAGGTAAATATCAAAATAACAAGTAAATAGAGGTAAAAGTAGTTTCCTCTAAGGAAGGGTTTATGCAAGTAGAGGGAGGCTGAGGACTGCTTTTTTCCTTTGTAAACACAAGCTTGCTGAACTATTTGAGTCTTTACACTATTATAGACACTATATAAGACCTGTAGTAAATATCTGATGATATATAAATTCAATAAAAAGAAAAGCTTTTAAAAAAAGAAAGTAAAGTAAAAGAGAAGAAAAGAAGGGAGGGAGGGAGAGAAGGAGGAAGGAAAGATAGAGGCCGGGAGAGAGGGCCAGATACACGTAGCACAGACATTTCAATGTCATTGAGGGCACGTTGTGGAGACAGGAACAGGATCTCCATCACACTACTATTAGAGACAGCCGCTCTCAAAGCCATTCTTCTTCCACAAATGACACAAAACCCAAACCAGGGTGAGTTTAACTGTTCCACATTTCCTGAATATTGATAGACTGTTGAGTTATCTTTCAAATTATAGATAACACCATCCCAACTGATCTCTACTTACTGTTCGGATAATACGCCATAAGCTACCCTTTTCTGAATTACGTTCAGAGTCTTGAAATTGGTGACGACATCAATAATACCAGACGCTTCTAGAACATCATTTTGGGGAAGACTCATTTTTAATGGTAAAAAAGAAAGAAAGATAAGGATAAGAAACATAACTAATAGATGGAAACATATAAGACTGTTGTTTTAGTAGATCACAACTGCATATAGTTCAACCTAATAAACCGGAAGTGTGAGGGATGGAAGGGCATGTGTGTGTGTGTGCACACATGCATGTGTGTACAGTAGAGACCAGAAAGTGGAGTGTGCTAAGATTAAAAAAAAAGAAAAATCACTTCAGATGTCTTTATTTACCCCGAAAGTTATAGACCCTTTGTAATTCTAGCACTCTCCCTGCCCATCCCACTTGTATCTCCTGAAAAGTATATCACCTTGAGTCCCTCTGTCCATCATTTAGGAAAAGATATCCCTCTCCCTACCAACTTATTCATAATTCTAAGAGCAACATTTGCAAAAGATCCCCCTTGATGCTAAGAAATTACAGGCAAATCTCAAGTCTCATGATAATGCTTTTGGCATGATCTTTCTCATTCGTTTCTTGCCACTGTTTAGATGAAATGACAGGCCAATGTGTTCACAATCCACATGCAGAACTATTAACTGGCATGAATAGCAGTATTTTGTCAGTATCTTTCCTAAACAAGCCAAGTGTCCTGAGTATGAATAAGCCTTGTAGTAAACATGTGATGATGAATCCACTCTCGCTTTTTTAATGGGGTGAGTCAGATCTCCAGATCTTTAAGATAATTTAACTTTCATTAAACAGTATTTATCAGTCACCATAATGCCCAGGCACTTTTGAAAACACCACAAAGGCAAAATCCCTGTCCATGAGGTACAGGTACCCTCTCCTTATTAAGTACTACTGTGAGCCAATTATATAAAAATACGATCGCTGACATTTCAATACGAAAGAAATAGGAAGTTGTGACAAAAACAAGGGAGGGGAGAAGAGAAGGAGAAAGCCTACCTAGGGTGGTCAAATCAGAAATAAATGCTCTCTAGGAGTTGAGAGGTTCTTTCAGAATAGGGATTAGAGGTTGAATATTTATCTTTGCATCCCGACAGCTTAACACAGCAAGAACCTGGCACATCCAGGAAATGCTCAAGAAACATTTGCTGAATTAACCTAAGAACTGAACTAAGCATGTCTTAGCATCCACTGGGCCAAAAAGTATAATCCAATCATCTTTGGACACAGCTATGTTGGGGAGTCAGCACAACGGAAGGCATAGCATCTTCTCTGAGAACAGCAGCTCCTTACCTGTTGTTGTACTGGTACTTGCTGTACCACCTGTGTAGGCACTGCTGCTTGACTAGCCACAGATGTCTGTAAAGTCACTGTCGAACCTGTGTCCGACCCAGTCTCTGATGTCTGCATGATGGTCTCTGAAATATATTAAAATAGAAATAAAGTTTTAAATGCTCTCCTTTATGACTAGCTGTACTGTATTTGTTCTTAATATCTTATACTAACTTTAAACTCTCAGGATACCTCTTACCCAAATTGTCCTGATATTCTATACACATTTATAGTCATTTTGACCTTTCTTTTTTTGGTGAGGAAGATGGACCCTGAGCTAACATCTGTGCCCATCTTCCTCTATTTTGTATGTGGGTTGCTGCCACAGAACAGCTTGATGAGTGGTGTATGTCCCGGCCCAGGATCAGAACCCAGGCCACTGAAGCAGAGCACGCCGAACTTAACCACTACACCACCAAGCTGACCCTGATCACTTTTTAAATATGTACAGAAAATGACCAATCCATATTTTTTTTAAATCCCCATTAGTACCTCCTAGCTTGAGGCTATAAAGGTTGAACTTCATTGAAATCTACTTTCCTTAGGTCTCAAATCTGTTATAAATTGTTTCAAACACATCATAAAACTAGAGTCCAAAATTATGTCAAGATACTCAATTCTCAGAACACAACTCCTAACTGGATGCAAATATGTCACAAACAGTACTTTCTCGACATGTTGATAGACTATTAGGATGTTACCAGAGGTGTACGATTTAGAATAAATTATTTCTAAGGTCCTTTCCAACTTTCAAACTTACTATTCAGTGATCTAAAAAATTAATGTATATCCAAAACCAACTGATATACCCTAAACTTAACAAAACCATTAAGCTCAATAATTTTCTCTGCATGTTGTATGATACAGTACTAAAATCAAAGTTCAATTATATTCTTAAACAAAGATAGCCAAGTATCAATAATGTTTAATATTTTGAAGGATCGGGAGGATCACTATGACACAAATGAGATTTATAAACACAGATAAGAAATTTTACCTCCTTTCATTCACAATTCAACATGGCCCATTTTTCAGTTCTTATGTGCCTGACCTACTACTAACACAGGATTAAAACTTGCAGCATGTACTCTAACAAGTGTGGTTTCTCAGACTTCCTGGCCTTGGCATTCCCTTTTGCTACTTATACAGTCAACAGAATAAATATTCATTTCTTTGCTATTGAGCAAGGACCAGGATTCTAATTTTCTTTCCTGGGGTGAAAAATGATATTTAATTGGTAGCCTAAGAAAAATACTGCATTATGGTTTAAATCTGTGAACAATATGGCAAACATTAATTTTCCCTAAGAAAATTCTGAAAGAGTATTCAGTTCTTTCAAGTAGAAAATTAACCCCTCTCAGCATCTTTTGTCACAGTGTGACCTCTTCCAATTTTTTTCCCCAAACCTTTTCTATCATCTCATTCGGTTTTAGAAATAGACCTCTTAAGACATGCAATCTACTTTCTTATTTTATGAATGAGGAAACTAAAGCCCAGAGAGGCTAAGAGACTAGCTCAAGGTGACCGGAGTAGACATGGGACTGGGCTTTTTCACTTTGAATCTGTGCTTATTTTAATTTGTAGACCTTGACGTTGGCATCACTTTAGGTGATTGAGTATTCTTACTCTTTTGTTAGTCAAAACCCTAAAGCAAAACAATAAACCTTAGCACATACAAAAGATATGGCAGTAACAGCCAGCACTGATTGAGTGTTTAACATATGCTAAGAACTCTTCTAAATGCTTTACATGTTAATTCATAAATAAACTAATCCATGTAATAACCCAATGTGGTTTGTATGATTATAATCTCCATTTACCGATGAGGAACCTCAGGCACACAGAGTGAAGGTGGCTAGGGAGGGGCCTAAAAAATAAAAGGAACGTGACTCCCATTTATTTGGGTCAGCTAATGTTCAGCTCCAAAAAATTGTGAATTTATGGGAAAGGTAAGCTGTAGCTGTCAGTTCTTCCAGTTCCCAAAAGAAGCTGAAAATCTAGATTGTTACACAAAATATCCCAAATAGTGGCTGATTTTTTTTTTTTTTAATGTAGCATTGATCTCCAAACACATGCACATATTCTCCTTTGGACTAGCATTAAGACCACAGATATGCCTGAAAATGTTTGAGGCTGACTACTCTTGCCTAATTAAGATTACTGCAGCACCAATGTTTCTCAAAATATGGGGAAGGGATACACACATTAGGAACCCTATCTGGACCTCTTCCTTTTCATTCCCTCATAGAGTGGGGAAAAATACCATCCTCAAAGAGGAAGCAAAAGCGAGTGTCCTTTGATTCATTACATCCTTATAGACTATCGATGCCATTTGTACTACAGCAGAGGAGCTAATAGTGAGAGTAAGGTGATGCCTTTCTACAGGAAATGAGGAACAAACCAGATGTTAGATACCATCTTCAGTGAGGTTTTCTTTGCTTCTCTTCCCAACTCCAAGATAACTGGTGGCCTTTATCAGTTTAGAATACAGATGAGGAAAACATGTTACCTCTTATGGCTTCTTGTTTAAGCTGCTTAATCAAAGGTGAGTGAGTTCATATGTGAAGTCACTCACACTAAAACTTCCTTCTCTTTCACCCAGTACTGGCTGGGAACCTTATAGAGGCTTTCTTGCGTGCCCATCCATCGTATTGCAGACCAGTCTACACACCCCTTTTTGGCTTATGACTCGTACTTGGCATCCACTGTTTTAGACCAAACATGCAAGAATATAAAGAATGAAGGTCTCTTTAAAAAGTAAATGTATTTTTAAAGCAACTCCTAACAATTCTCAATAAACCACCTGAGAGATCTCATCAGAAGATAAACAACCTAGTCTTGGAAATTGGCATCCTATGGACTCCACAGACAGGTTTTGGTTCAGAGTGACTATAAATTAAAATTCTTAATTGCCAACATTTAAAACTAAGAAAAGTTTTGGGTTAAAAAACAAATTTCCAGATTATCTTGAAAAATCTGAAAATTTAGAAAAGGTGAGCCTATATTATGTGTTTTATAGGCAAAATATTTAAATAGTGATACTCATTCACTTGCCTGGCTTCTATAGGCATTTGAGCTCATGAGACCTTTTAGGGTAACCAGAAATTTAGTCCTACAAATCCAGATTGAAAATGGAAAATTATTATTTGGGTATTGATAACATTTGAATATTGGATATTGATAACATTTGCACTGATCCACTTCTTTTATACAGAAGAGAAATACCCAAGTTTTGACCACTTTACTAACAGAAATGTGTAACAAAACGATTGGAACTACGATTTTCCTCATTTACAGCTGTGTTGACTGAGGCCCACAGATGTTAAATCATTTAGTGAAAGTCAAACAGCTGGAAGTAGAAAAGGAGGGTTTGGACATAACACTAAAGCTCATGCATTAAATGACTAGACCATGTTAGACGTCCTGAGTTTCATAACAGACGTTGTACAGATAGACGTGAAGAGAGTAATGAAAAGCAAACTGGTGAACTTCCAGAAAGTGAAAAAAGGAAAAAGATCTCAACTATTTAACAGGAGTAATCTTTACAGAATAGAGTGGGGAAAATAAGACAGACAGAAAACGATGGCTTATATAACTTAGAGAGTCATGGAGAAATTTCCACCCAGCCTCTGGCTCTGTGTACATACCACATCAAAACTGGCACATAAAGCCTAATCCAAGACAACCAATAACTGTCCCAGGACATCTTCTGGTTACTCTCAAGAATATCCAGTCTCCTTGGCTCCTGAATTACAGGGTCATGCCAATTGATAAGAACTTAGTCTCTCAGTTTTGTCTCCATTTTTCCTTAACAGGCACAACTTCATTCTCTGATTTCACTGTCTTCCTCAACTTGGAGGAAGGGACTCTCTTTACCAAGACCTGATGCCTTGAGAGCATCTCAATCACATCCCTTCCAGAGATTGGTTCGAGAACCCAATCATAATTTGGTTTCTCATTTAACAAGTCTTTTCCAGGTACCATGCAATATGCTAAGTGCTTGAAATACACCTTCTCATTTAATCCTCAGTAGACCTCCATAATGGAAGTGTTATTATGTCCACTTAACAAATGAGGAAACTGAAGAACAAGTGGATTAAGTAACTTGCTAAAAGCCACACAGCTAGTAAAGGGAAGAGCCTGAATTCAAACCTAGGTTTGTCTGACTCTAAAGCCCATGACATCCACTACTACTGCTTTGCAATATCATGATGATAGGGCTTCCAAATGAAAAGCTAGAGACTGTTGGTCTGAGCAGCAAAGTCTTCGGAATTCTCAATGTATCATTTCTGATCTACATTTCCAACAACAATGGACAGACATCCCTTTTCTCTATGACATCAAAATTAGGAAGTATTCTCTTTCTACTGAGGCCATAATAAAACCCAACTAATAAGTATTTTTCCAGAGGTATTTTAACTGATTAATTCTGAAGACCTAATTTAACAGCAGCTCAATTAGAAAGTTAAAGCTTGTTTGAGGGGTATAACCCTCTTGCCAAATTTTGCTAAACAGATCATTTAAACCCACGGACACATTCAGAGTATTCTGGTAGCTTTCCAACATTTCTGCAAAGCAAGGATCATCACATGAGGGTAGTACCTTAGCATGCTTCATTTGTAGGTTTTCTTTTAGACCCAGTATAAAGGTTTATGTGTACATTTGAGGAGTTCTCATTCATCTAGCAGTGCTTTCTGGTGCTTTGTTTATGTTTGGGAGTAATTTGGTTAGTTTAGTTCCTTCACAGCCTCCTTTCAAGTGATATTTGTTTATTAGCCACAAATGCAGTCACATTAATCCATTTTGATAAGCTAAATAAACCCCTGCAGTTTGTCCATGATGCAGCCCATATGTAAATGAGTTGTATATTCTTGCAGGAGAGACATGCACAATTTCAGTCTAGTCATCCTTGCCTAATGCGGCTGTCAGGTGTGTCAAGAGCAACAGATGCTTGTTTGACAAAGGACCTTTTTATTCTGGCTAATTAAGCAGTTGGACACACCCGCCTGTTAACGGTTCTGCTTTGTACAGCCAGCTCTGGCTGAATCATGCGAATCTACAGCTAAATAGGCCACATTTTGAAAGA